CTTCGATATATGTATTTACCATACATACCTGTATTTGATCACATTTGTCATAGTTGGTATACCTACTTGTATGTACCAAGGATTCTGTGCACCCGTGCACGCAGCTCACGCATCACGTACTCATACGCGACATCACATACACAGCAATTGACGACGAGACAAGCATGATAAGAGAACTCGCTCAAACCGTGACGAGACTGCCGGCCGCCAACTACCACACACTGAAGGCCATTGTCATGCATCTGGGTAATGTTATGGCACGCGCGGACGTGAACAAGATGACATCTCACAACCTGGCCATTGTCTTTGGTCCCACGCTCATCCGACCGGCCAAGGAAACGCCCCTTGAAGCGGTACGGTGCTGCTGTTTCGATTGTCTGAATGTTTGGTACTGGGTGCTCGTCTGTGCCAGTATGTCCTTGTCTCTGAGCCATCCCTCTCACTCTGAGAGTATAAAATAATACACACATGCACACTGTATATCATTGTGTTGCTATGTATGTGGTTCACTATATATATATATATATATCGACACTTCCTTATCGGGTTTGCTGGAAGTATCATTGGAAATAGTACAATATACGTATCTACATATTGTGGCGTATAATACATGATTGAAATTTGAGCAAGTCGCTCAAATCTTCAAGAACGGAGATATGCATAAGTGTATATCGAGTGTATTATATGTTTGTCTAATTGTCCTCGAGCGGCAAAAACGAGGTTCTTAGTAACATACCTGAATAGTTTATTTGCACATATGGTTGAGCATATACACTCAATCGAGATGATTACTTGTTATTGCTTTCATGGTAATGGTAGTGTGACAGCGTGAACAGCCATTGCAATCATGACAAACTCAGCCTATTAACAATATGCTACATATTTCGCTCCTATTCGCATCTGCTTGCTTTGCTCACTTTTATCTTTCCTTTTTTCTGTCTTTCTTTCTGATTGTCCTCCACTGTATTTGTACAACAGATTGAAAACATCACCCCCTCCACCTCGATAATGGAGAAAATGATCCTGCACCGGGAGCACATATTTGGTTCAGAATCGATGGCAGAATCTTCGGCAAGGGGAGAAACCTAAGTGAGCATCTCAGTGAGCATCTAAAGTTGTACATGCGTACTTCCCCGCGCACGGACGTGTGTGAACAATTACAATTTAAGTACACACATGCTGAGTACAGTTAACGTGTCGTGTATGTACTGAATATCACCGCAACCAGAAACAGAAATATACGCCATACCAGTGTCACTGGAACCTGGAGCCACAGAGGCAGTGAGTGACTATATCTGAATCGGACTTATACTCTTTTTAGAATAAATATTTTATTGCGGGATTACGCCTCAAGAATGGGGTGTGTGTGATTGTGGGCAGCTATTGCAGTCGATGCTGCGTTGAGTGTGGCAGGTGTCGCAAGACAGCCAGCTTACCTTTATGACTTTTACATACAGATTAGAAATACTTTAACCTGATCCATATGCGAACGTATGAATATATGAGTTCACCTTCTTTATCAATGAAGAATATTCACGGACGAATCAACATAATATAGTTAGCACTACAAAATTCATATCTAGAGCTCTGGACATAATCAGGCATGTCTATTTACTCGTTGTTTCTATCTGTGCATCAAATAAATGGTGATAATACGGATGACCCATAATTAATCTCGAAAAGTACATCCATACATCGATCGAGTAAAGTGTTCTGCCCATAAACCATCCAGGAGCAGTCCGCGCGTTCAGAGGAATAGTCCCAGCGGAAATATTGTCTCCTGTATCATCGAATAAAAACTCTAGACGCGCTATTGTAGCGGCTGCAACGTTACTACTTCCGTCGACGGCAAACATGTTATACTTATCAAAGTTTGGTGTGTTGTTTTTCGTATATGTTTCCAAAATGCACACTGTGAATACGCTCACACATTGAATGCCGCTAAACGTCGTACGCTCACTATGCCATTGAACCAAGAGTATGAATTGGTATTAGCTTCGTGATTCCGTTGGACACTATCTAGTATATATGCCGCCAATAGACGTTTTTTCCGGGTATCTGCTACTGAGTTGAAACGAAGCTTTGCGGATTTCAAAGCGTAAGACATTAAGTCTAGAGTTTATGATAGCTCGCACGTCTATATCGACATACATATCGAAAGTGTTGTTTTGTCTCACGTTCGGTGGCAGGTTAGAAGCTGAACTTATAAGGCCCGCATCTCGAAGCATAGGCGCTCTGGCATGAGCGGCAACAAAGAAGGGCGAGAGTGGTAGATAAGATCGAGAGTGTTGCTGGACTATATAATGTAGTTTGTCACGATAGTTTGTAAACAGTGCGCACGTCAAAGAGTCCGTCTTTACTATTTATCCCTTTCAGTTATAAACAAATACACTAATTTCAAAAGGCTCATGATGTTGACAGTCACAGTCATCGCTGCTCATGGCTCACTGATTCAGTTTCCATGCCACTCAACACTTATTTTAAATACATCGCTTAAAAGGACCAAGAGCCAACGACTTGGAAGAAGAAAAAATCCCACCCTGTAATTTAATTTTGATATCAATTGCTTTTGTCCTCGTTGTTCAATAAATATCCATCCAAGTCGATCTTAGGATCTATTTATCTAGTTAAATTTTAGTAGTTGTATGTTAACTAGTGTATCACTGGCCGATTGTATATAAATACATAGAGTAAATAGAAAGATAGTTCCAAAGGAAATACGTCAATGTTTTATTGGCTAACCCGCATCTATTTGGAGATCTTTCCAAACCACTAGTCAACTATGAGCCACTATGTAGTGTGGTAAATACTAAACAGGTAATATGATACTGGCTACTGGTTAGGTACAACGCTCATAACACTCCGCATGAAACAGGTTGTCACTCCACGCCTATAACTCAACCAACTATCTTAGCTAACCTAATTTATATAGTATCGTAGACTACCATGAATTGCTGCTCAAATATAATCACTCTGTCCATAAACGTCTTTGCAATATTTTACATATGTAGTCGTCCAATTCACCCTATGAAAAAAATCAAAATCAATTTGATTCCACCTTGTAAATAACAGCGGACAGTACCCGGTGCAGGACAATCAGTTATATGGCATCATCATGGACAGTCTTCATCCATAGGACTTAGAACAACTAGGAGTAGAACGCCCACATGTCATTCAGTGACAACAGGGCCCCGGGAGTTTGTGACTCCTGGTAAAACGCTAGCGGACTGACCTCTAGGCTCTAGGTGTCAATACTTTTGTATACTGGTTCTAGCGAGGCTAACCATCAAGCTTAGTTCTCCAATAGTAAACGACGAGTACCCTTGAGTTTACTACAGCTATACTCTACTAGCCAACCTGGGACAAACCCAACAACCCTAGAACACAATATCAATTACGATCAAAATATCATTTCAGTTCTGAACACATAGTCTGAATGTGATTCCGGTGATGTCACAAGAGCGAGACTAGGCCAACAACCACACCGTGACTCCAGCTCATTCAGAGGCCGCTCCTTTGATCGGTATCGATCTTCATCGCATAGTCACGATCGCCAGTATCACTCGGGTCGAAACTCGCGGTCCTACTCTGCGGGCAGCGACACACAAATTTCAGGGACGCGACCACTGATACAGAGCTGGTCGCCAACAATCTCAGGATTCGACACGCACGGACATCCCTACGTGCCCTAAGTGCCGCCTTCGACATGCCGACAAGTTATGTCCGATCTCACATGCCATACATACAAGCAGACCGGTCATTACTCACGAAGATGCCCGAGCAAAGTTACTTTGGCTACTGCAACACCAGCAGCAGACGCCCTTGAGGACCCCATTCTACTTGTCACTGAGATTGACATCCCACGTGAACATTGACTTGGAACAGGGACAGCGCCCACGGATACTGAACCCCACCAGGCGTCCCTAGTGGACACTACCATACCACGGGACGCTGCTCCCACACATAGCACAGGGGATGTTGATCCCACACACAGCAACGAACTCCAAGCCAACAGCGAGACACACATAGACACAATACGCCCGGACGAGTAAACAGGACCGGTGGTACAAGCAGAATGCGAGCTGGAGGGTGTCATGATATACGTGGACGTCGGATTCAAGCCCGCTATACCACTCAAAACCTTCATAAAACGACTAAGCTGCCAAGTACAGCTCATATCCTCAGTTTATTTTCAGGATTTTGGGGTCGATGGCCAAGCTACTTTAAACCACCAGGTTACTGCCACCCTTCTACTTAATGTACGAGCCCCGAACGGTACCCTACTCACTATGAAACCAAGTCCGAGACTTCGTTGTCTCCGACTGGCTGCCTCGTGACTGCGAGGTGTTCTTCAGGCTCGACCACCTCCAGGATAACCTCATCGATATTTCCTGGTACCAGTCGACTTCCCCGCTACAGTGCCAGCTGGACCTTCCACGGGTTAAGTACCCTGTCGGTTTCCTCATACCCCAGGCTCCAGAACAACTAGCGAAGATTGACCTAACACCCGTCTATGGGCCACAGGAAGAGAAGCTACCGGACGAGTACGACTTTCGACACCTCGACCGGTTAGCGAAGATCTTCAATAAGAGCCCTAGCAAGCTACCGGCGCTTAAGGACCTCTTGAATGAGGCGCGATACAACCCGCACCGATCACGTTATTTTAATGACATCTTAGTCCAGCTCCGCCTCAAGGATGAAGCCCAGCCAGTTAAACAGATATATTGCACCCGAGACTCTGTTCTCCAAGCAGTGAAGACTGCGAAGATGGAGCAGAACTACAAAAATGGGAAGGCTGACGAAGGAGACAAGTACAGCCAACGGGTCAGCTCTGTCTGCATAGTTCGAAGGATTCGAAGGTAACACCCACTTGTGTCGACCATTACCACATGACGAAATAACTATGTCCCTATTATTAACCGATGGCTTCACCGTTTTCCGTATCAGCTTCCTATTGAGACACTGAAGACTCTCGGAACGCTATCGTCCAATCAACTGCGGACCTTGCAGCAGCGTCGTACCACCAGAAACTCCTCGTGCGGCGCCGCGAGCCTGTCACAGACCACGCGGCTCTCCAACAGCTTGCGGCCTTACACCTCACGTGCATGAACCAACCTGTAGGCCCCGAGTGGGTTCTCGCCATCATCTGGGTGTGGCATGACGGCTACAGCCACCTACTGGCTGACCGCCGACATGCTCTTGGTCGCTAGAAGTGCGGCTGGTTTATCCCCGCCTCGATCTTTCGCTCCATTATCGAGACGTGCAACGACCATATCCGAGTTGGCCCAGTGACCAGTTACACACGAAAACTTTTACAACAGCCCACTCGACCGGCGGCCATGTGTGATGAAATTAACCTGGACTACATGTCTATTCCTCCTGATGCCGAAAACTATTGCTATATCCTTTTCGCGCAGAACGGCTGTACGCTTCGGGTCTTCCGTGAGCCCTTCAAATCTACTGACATGCTCGCATCTGTACCCATTTGGTTCCTAACACCCACCTCGTTCCAAGGGGTCATGTTGAGACCTACGTTATAGACAATGGGAGTACACTCATCAGCGACAAATTCGCTGCCTTTGCCGCCAGCACCAATAGCAACATTCCCCCGGTCTCCACTGTTGAACACGGCGGTAACGGCCGGATTGAACGCTTGGTTCGAACCGCTCGTAACGTTCTCCAGCGTTCCCTCGGACCCGGTGCAGGAACTTTCCAACTTCCTAGCTACCTACAACGCCACATTTTCATCCACGATACATAACACTTGCCCATACACGCTGAAGACGGGGCGTGCATACCCTCACCCGACCGACAAGATAGTGGAGGAGATCCTTGATGCTGCACTTGGCTGTCCCCCCACATACTGTCTCCCTCCGATCGGAACCACTGAACAGGGTCGACGACGCCACATTTGCTGTCGGCAAAGCACGTTCCTCCCAGGAGCAATTGGCCGAGAGGTCCTATGCACGCCGATGCAGCAGCCCAACCACAAACTGGCTAAGGACTGGCTGGGCCTTTCGACAGCTCTTGCGCATACAGCCCCAGTTATACATTATATCCTCGACAAGGCACGCAACAAGGAGTTTCGAGTCCATATTAATATTATCAAGGCACACCTGCCCCCCATTGGCCGCACGGAATTCCGACCGATGGGCGCTTTTGCTGCCTCCGCCTTCGGGAGCTGGCTCTTCTTTAACTCCCCACTCGCCGATGACCCCGAAGAAGCCCACCTGGCGGAACTTGTCGCCTTGTTCCGTCCTAGCGTGCCAGCCGTACGCTTCCTTTATGGCTGTTCAACAGCCTTTAACAAATGAGACACACTTTTACGGGCCACGGGCCGTAAGCGCAGCGACGACTACTCTTCCGATGATGAGGATCATTTCCAGGCTCATGTCGATCTGATCACCAACCCGACAGCTACCCTGTCTACGCTCCGCAGAGCATACGACTTCGCCCACAGTCGACCAGCACGCCACTAGAAGATGGTGTCCTGGCATGCTAAGCCGCAGGCAACCCACCTGACTACCCCGATCGCTTGATTGCACCCGATGAACATCATTATACCACCCTACGATCTACACACACACACACACACACTATTATGTTTTGTTTCTGACTGTCACATTATTTACTTCTTGTTTCATCACTTTTTTCGCTTTATTTTACCGATTCTAATAATAATACGGATGCTGACGTCTAACTTCTGACGCCGGATTTTGAGACATACGCGCATACTCCCGCTCCTTTCTTTTGAGACGCGTCCCCTACGAGCCCGTCTGGGGAGGGATGTAGTATCGGACAGTACCCGGTGCAGGGCAACCAGTCCTATGACATCATCATGGACAGTTCCACGACAGTCCCATCCATGGGACTTAGGACAACTAGGAGTAGAACACCCACATGTCAATCAGTCATCAGTGACAACAGGGCCCCAGGAGTCTGACCCTGGTAAGACACTAGCGGACTGACCTAGGTGTCAATCCTTTTGTACACTGGTCCTAGCGAAGCTAAACCATCTAGCTTAGTTCCCCAATAGTAAACGACGTGTACCCTTGAGTATACTACAACATTTGAAATTTTGCAAACAGTCAATTGACAACCACAGCCATTGTTCAATGTTTATACAATTTCTTGGCTCTCTGTAATCTCAAATCTGGATCCGATCTGGTTCTCGAGCGGAAACGAAATTAGCGAAAATTGTAAATTTAGCGCAGATCCAAATCCAGAGGGTCAACCATTGTTGTGACCAGCAGTGACTGCGAGTGCGTAGCACTGTCAGTGGCCAATGTTAAAGCTACAGGGACTATAGACAGGAGTCTAGCTATGTCCAGTATTGAATATAATAGTGTCCAAAATCTAAATTCATTTTCAGACAGGGATTCAGGATATAATAGCAAAATGACGAAAGTAGCTTGTCTGGTATATACTTAACAACACTATACGTGCACATTATTAGTTGGAGTATGTGCTGACTCTTGGAAGCACAAGAACTAAACCTTGTCAAAAAACTGGAGTTCACATTAGACTATAATATGAATCTTGCTTAAGAATTAAACTAACGTAGGTTAAAGTGTTTCCACATCTACTACATTCTGAGAACGTCCGCAAACAATTTGCGCACACTCAAATCAGGAAGCACCTTAGGCGTGATATTGACATAATCCATTCTTTTTCTCGTAAACCATCACTTTTCGTAAACCGCGGGACCAGATGTCATTCGCACGTCTCTGTGTACGCTACGGAAACATGTGCAAAACTTTCAAGAATCGAGTGTTCTACACTACACCACTGATGTTATCATGTTACGGAAGTATACACATACTCCTCACAGCGATGTTTTTAAGCGTAGTCTTTCTCAAGCTGTACGGTGAATGGAAGTGAAATTCACTTGCAAACTCGGGAATAGGCGCCCAACATTTAATTATAACAGTTCTCACATCAGTTTAATCATTTTTATAAAACTTCGTTTTCACTACAGATCACAGCCTGCCACAAGGGATTTCATCTCAATCCACAAACCTGTATCGCTACACATCAACTGGTAGGTCGAGTACTCGACATCATGACATGTATGTACTATGTAAGTGTCAGAGAATGCGAGTACGGAATCATAGTTATCCCAGATTTACCCACATCATCGTACCGATATAAACCCAAGCCATGCAGGAGATACTGTATTATATCTTTATTTTCGTATCAAACATTCTATGGAACATGCATGCCACTTCATCTCATCCTGGAACCTGTAACTTTAAATTGGCCACTACTTATGTCGGGTACTCGCCCTGCCCTCACTGCCATTTGAGTATGAGTACAATTTCCTAGTGCCCCTGGGACTTTCCGTATCATCATACTTAGTAGTCGGGCCGCATTGCAACTCTCGCAAAATCATATTTATCTACTTCCTCCCCACAAAAGCAAAACTTGAGATATCTTATCATATCCACTTATGATACTACATTTTATTCAAACGTGATTTTTTTATCCCATCCCAGTGAACAGACGACTCCTCGTATCAGTTGCTTTTCCGTGAACTCGCCCTCCCCGTAGCCGTTTGCGAGTGCGTGTGCAGGCTCTTAGTTCTCCTGGGATTACCCACAACATCATACTTCGTGCTCAGCCCCTTAATCTCACTCAGCCGTGTCAGTGTGGCGTGCCGTTTCATCACAATAACAGGCGATGCCACGGGACTTTTCACTCTGACCTTCACGAGATCCTCGTAGTCCGAACCTCGGCGGAAGAGCTTGTTGAACCTCCCGCCCTTGCCATCCTTATCCCGTTTCCCGTCCTCCCCTTCTTCTCCTGAGATCGTTCCATCGGTCGTGTTATTAACACCGATCTCCACTCCCTCCACATTGTAGTACGGGCTGTGCCGCCGTTGGCTTAAACCGCTCATACCCGTGGCTTGGCTGATCGCCGTACCGTTGCTAGTAATGCTCACATCTCCCATTGACCGCCTATTACTCCCTCTCGGCGCACCTCTGGCAGTGGGGAGTCTCGTATCCGTAAACGACGAACGGTGCATGCCCGAGTTCGGCGCCAGTTTCGCCGCCTCGTGGTCCTTTATAGTCAGATGGGACAGGCACGGACGCATACCCCCCTGATGCTTAACCGGGCCAATGCCAGAGCTAGCGATACTTGCACCTCCCTGGCTATTCCGGCACCGAGCGACCGTGGGACCCACGGTGCTGGAGTTTGTTTTCACGCTGGTGTCACTGCCGGTGTTATCGCCTGTGGTCATGATTCTCCTCCTGGTCTCATCAGGACTAGTTACGGTGTGGTCATCGATCCCCTCAAACACTACACCACCTTGAGATGACGAGTTGCTGGTTGTACTATCCCGTGTCGGAGCTCTTACACAAGCATACCCATCCACACTCGCCGGCGTGATCATCACCAGACCCTCCCCATCCTCATCCATGATCATGCTCATGGGCGTCAACCCAGAAAACCCCGCAGTCTGCAGCTCACTATAAGCGCTTTGCTGATTTTGGCCTGCTATACTCCCACAACTCGCTGCATTGCTACCTCCACCCGCATACACGGCTTGTCCTGCCAGTCCCATTTGTCCCACCCCAGGGCCGACAAACGTAGCCAGTTGGGCCAAACCCGCAGCACTCATAGACCGTGACACTCCCCCCATAGCCGGTGCCGTGGTTCCCAGGTGCATGGTCGGATCAAAGCTGTTCAGGCCATCCCCCGCCGGCACTAGACTGGATGTGCGAGACTGCGTGGGCGTGTGGGCGTGTGACTGAGACCGTCTGAAGCCTATTTGAGGGTCGCAGCTGGTGTGATGTGGTTTGATTGGGTGTGCGGTGTGTGCACCTGCACCTGTGCCGGTGGGGTGTGGCTGAGGGCCGAGCGCTCTCTCCGCAGACGTCGCGGAGTGGTGGCTCTCCTCCGAATGCTGTGGGAAAAAGACCGTTGTATCCGAAATGGCCCGCCTGTCCAATTGCCTTCCAGTACCACCCCCACTGTCGCCATTGGCTTGGTTTTGGGGCCTAGAGAGTCCCGATTTTGGGCTGTGTTGTAGACCATTCCCATTCGCATGCATATCCCCAACTACTACCGCAGCCGATGGCACCGATCCTCTCGTCCTGGCCACCAAGTTACCCGGCAGATACCCACCCACACCCGCCGAGCTATCCCGCGTAAAGATGGCACTGGGGCTGCTAGTCATATCAGACTGTGTTATATATGAGGGTTTCATTGAACACTCCACACTCACAGTGCGTTTGTGATCCTTCTTCTTGCCCAACTTGTCCTTCTGAGCCTCTTTCTGAGCCTTCTTCTTCGCCTTCTCTTTCTCCTTCTCCTTATCTTTGTCTTTGCTCTTGCTCGACATACGTGTCTTGGGAGAGTTGCCTGGGCTTATGCTGCCTACACCTCCTATCCCGATCATCGCCTGCGCATCTATCACATAATTGTCCGTGTGCTTGAGACTGTTGCGGGTCGCGCCAGGTTTGGTCGAGCTGGCGAATGAGAGCTTCTTGGCGTTGCTTTTATTGTGGTGTACATGGTGTAGTTTGCCTATTATGTTGAAGTTGGCGCTATGTTTAACATGGGGCTCGGGTACGGGATGGGTCACCCGGTTCTTCGCTATAACGGCCAAGGCTTCCACGGAGGTTGTCATGAACACATCCACTACTTCCAGGCGGGAGAGGATGTTGCACTGCATGTAGTACTTGGCCCCGAATAGTTTGTACAACTGTGTGTGTAGGGGGACAACAGGTTGGTTGAGGTGACTTACAATGACAAAGATGAAAAGACCGAGTATAAGCACACGTGTGATCATATACACTTTTTGCACATCTAGACGGGGTTAGATGTTGTACTGTATATGGATCGCCCCCGTATAATTGATTTCGAGATATCATAAGCAATCAACAAGCTTTCATTGCCATTATGAGAAAACTGAGTATATTGCAAACTTGTGTGGCTATGATGACATGCACTACATCAGGCGTGAGAGAACGTTGCACTGTTGGCAGACAATATCAAAATATTAATCTGCTTATAAACTAGCCCCGTGTGATATGAACCGGTGAGAAGTGGGATGACAAGTCCACATACTATGCATTCAATGATGCCGAGGCAGACGTAATATATATATATATATATACATATATATATATATATGCGTGTCTGTGTGTAAGAATGTATATATGCACATATAACTTTTGTATGTATATGGATATATATATATATATAGTGTGTGTTTGTGTATATGTGTGTGATATGTAGTGGGTGTGTGTGTTTGTGTATATGTGCGTGTTTGTGTGTATGTGCATGTGCATGTGTATGTTGGTTTGCGTGGGCATGTGCGTGTTTGTGTATGTGTACGAACTACATGCCTGTGATTAGAAACCACTCTTCATAAACTTGCAAGGATATGAAGTATATATTGACCATTTCAACCTACACATACCCCATTTGCCTCAGCCACCACCTGTCGCTTTACCTCCGATTCCCCACGGGAGAGGCCTACCAGTATGAGCGTAGCCTTTTCTGTTTGTTTACTACTTTTAGCCGCCCATTCTTTCGCATCCTGCATAAGTGATGCGTAATATACCAGGGTTTGAGAACTGGGTTATGCATATTGCGGCACTATTGAATTGCCGACACCCATGTGAAACACCGTCACACAAAAAGGACGAAAGCCCTGCGGAAATCAAAGCAGGCCACACAGATAACAGAGATACACGCGGACCTTACAACAACACCACCACCACCATATACAACCCGTGACACAATATCATGCAGCACATCACACCGACCGGACACGCGCACCAGTATACAAACGCATACTTCCCCACTAACAACCCTCTCCAAACACGAATCCGCTTAGAATGTGTGCATGCCGCACATCTACTGGTAACACGCCCCATATACAAAAAGACTATGCAACTCTTTGTGTGACAACCCGCAAGACGCAGCACTAGAACTGACCGCACGGTTGAAAGCCCTGACCAACTACACAAGAAGAGAAAGAAAAAGCCGAGAGAAAGCCCATAGGCATGCCATACATATCAGAAAACCACACAGTAGGGCGAATAACATAAGATACTAGGGGGTTAGTACACACGAGCCAATTATCATACGCTTTTGTTCGACGTACATTTAAGGAATCGGCATCCGCGCTATCGAAGCACACCAAGATTACGTCCGCCAGTACTATTGTGTGGATGAGCTTGAGGGTGCTGATCACGAAGAATCTGTTGTAGACAACAGTGAGAGCGTAGTAAAGGATAAGAAACAGCGACACAGCAATGTTAAAATGACAGCCGTCAAAGAATTATGCATGAGAACACGGCATAGTATACATCAACGCGTAGACACAAACACAAACACACACACACACACACATATATATAATAATAATATAATAATATATACACACACATATATATATATATAATATATATATATATAGATAATGTATACATACATACA